AAAGTTGAAGGATAGGGGAGGTTATGAGAGAGGGACGAGAAAAGGAGGATCGGAGGTACGAAAAAGGGAGAAAGAGGGGGGAGGGAGGAGCACCGTGGTCGTACAGAGAAGAGGAGAGGAGGGAGGGAATGAGAGAGGGAAGGAGAAAGGGGGGAAGGAAGGGATGGAAAGAGGGGATTGAGAGGATGATAAAAAGGTCGTCAGGTGGAGAGCAAGAAAGGAAAAAGCGGCAAAAGACACAGGGGGTGGAAGAGAAAGAGTTGCGGGGGGGGGGCGGGCTAGTACCGTAAGCAGCATGATGTTGGGCGGTTTGAAGGGGTACTCGGCCGGGAGTAGAATACGACCGTGATAGACACCGGCGTCGTAGTCCGTGGCAGGGGGTCCGCGCAACGTGAAATGCCATTCAAAAAGATTTTCCTGGGACGTTAGGTGGCAGGTGGATAAAGAGGAGGAACGACCGTGAGAGGTTGTTGTGGTCAGGATCCTGCTCAGCCCATGACTTACTTCTAGTGGTGCCGCATGGTACTGGTCCGAGGGGTCCTTTTGCAATTCTCGGATGTCCTGATGGACGCGATGTTCGAAGCGGAGTAGTAAGGGCGAGAAATGAGCAGGGATGGAAGTGAGGATAGAATATAAATTGAAGCACGCAACCAGCCTCGTCTCCGGTTACTTTACAACACAGGCCCCTAGATTTACCCCACACTCTATCGGGCAGTCCTTTTCTTGAATCTACCTTCTATGCGCATGCATGGTTGCCTAGCACTTACCGCATGGATGCGGCGGATTGCTGGGTTTTTAACATTCCCTTTACGAGGGTGCTCGTCCATTGCCACCTCTTTGCTGTCAAGATGTTTTCCTCTTTGTGCTGGGGATGACAGCAAAGATAAAAATCATGTTCATGCAACGTAGATAAGAAATATGTGAGTCCATATGGAAGAGGCTGCCGTGGAATGCCGTGGAGGTTACGAAGGCGTATCAACAAGGGGAGAGGATGCTGCGTACAACACTTGTGATAACGGTTGCTATAATGGGGTTTCACTCCACTCAGACTGTGTGCCTACACAGAATCACAGCACACCTAATCCAATGTATCGCAAAGATACATGAAAACGTAGTGATGGCCGTCCCTTTGCCCCTTGCCGACAGCTCCACGACAACGTCAACTCTCAATTTGACCTATTCCAAGATCTTTCGTAACGGAAACTGCCGGGTATCGTAGTCGGACACGGAAACAGACCAGCCTGGTGATATCTTTGGCTGTGCTTTGCGTGGGCCAGAAGACCCATAGCGTCGATCTCATCTATTTCATATTCTCGCTGTAAGATCCTCGAGTTCCGAAACGCGGAAGGCTAAAGTCATGTATAATTTCCTGTCGACGGCCAGCTGGAGGAAGCAAGCTTTGTAAATCGATAGGGATTCCTGAGATTCTTTAAGTTGGTAATGAGTCGAAGACAAATGAAATAAGCGTGGGTCAACCTCTTGAGATCTCACAAAGTATGAAAACACTCTGAAATATAGGGAAAGCAAAGGTACGGAGCCCTCGATTAGGTGATTGAAGTGTATACTTTATATTGAGCTTAAGACCTTTCCCTTCTTAGATATATAGCAAACAAATCTAGGTCATCTGCTTTATAAAAAAACTACTCAATAAGTATCCTTTTAAGCCCGGTCTGCACGTCGAAGACTTCACAAACAATCATGCCGGTCGGCCCTCCCCATCCCTTTAACAGCTTTTCCACTTCTCTATCCTTCACGTGGAATAAGACTGCTAATTGATCGTTCATTTCTTTGTTCTTCTACCCTTCCTGGGCTTATTCCATCCTTCTAGTGACGGAAATGAACCTTAGTGTCATATATTCGATCATAAAACCACCCACATAACTCCGCCGCGGCCACCCAAATCGTGTAATCGCCGCCCTAGTACCTACGTCTCCTTCTTTACCTTTTCCCTCGGCAAAAGTGGAAGTTTCCATCCTCACGTCTTTCTCCCTCTCTTCGCCCCCGTTCTCCCCCCCTTCACCCGTCCGTTTCTCCCCTCTACCTTCCATGTGCTCCTCCTCTCCCTCCCTCCGATGGCAGACGGCGTAAACTAACAATTTCACCACGCTTTGTTCCAGCCGGACACTGGCAGAGAGGGCCCGGGCCGAGAGAGGGGAGGAGGCAGGGAGGACGATGATCGCGGCGAAGGAGTGGAAGGCCATGGGGTCGCCTGGGAAGATGGGGAGGGAGGGAAGGAGGGAGGGAGGGAGAAGGGGAGAGAGAAGGGGAGAGAGGCTGAGCCTGATCCACGACAAGGTGACGACAAAAGGCCCCCAAAAGTGCAGGACCAGACCGAAGGCGGAGGGAAAGGGGCGATGGAGGCACGGCTGGACTTACCTTCGTAGGCAGTAAAGTCAGCGCCATAGGCCCCTCCGCTTCCGATGGTCAAGCCCCTCTCCCACAGGTCGCGATAGACGGCCCTCAGCATCCTTTCTTCCAGGGAATGGTACCCGGACATGTCGGCCAGGCCCCGGACCAAAGGCAGGGAGGGAGGGAGGGAGGGAGGGTTGGACAGAGGTCGGGGTGGGGGTAAGTGCTGGGAAGCGACTTGTTCGAGATGGGCGAAGGCAGAAGGAGGGGGGAGGCGCGCCGTGCCAGGACCATTGAGGGAGGAGGGGTGGGAGGAGGACGAAGAGTCGGAGAGGAAGGAGGGAGGGAGGGAATGAGGGAGGGAAGAAGAGGCCGGGGGGGTGCGTGTCAAATCTGCGTGGGCTCCATTTTCCACGGCAGGAGGGGCCGCCGTGCTCGCCTCCTCCACCACAATCTCCTCTTTCCCGCTACTTTCCTTCCCTCCTCCTTGTCTTTCCTCTTCTGCCGCTCCCTCTCCTTGTTCTCGCCCCTTTCCCCCCCCGCTTCTCCCCATCAGGCCTTCTCCTCCTTCCCTTCCTCCTCTTTCCTCTCCTTCTTCATCACTTCTATCGCCACTTTCTCCTCCTTCCTCTCCTGCGTTTTCTTCCACACCCTGACAACCTTCTTCATTGCCCTTCCCCCCCGCTTCCCT